CCCCCCCCCGAGGCAGCCAGGGAGGCCCGGGGATCATGTGGGGGCTGAGGGGACAGTCACCAGGGACAGGTGGCCTGTGTGGGGCTGAGAAGACAGTCACTGGGAGCAGGCGGCCTGTGCGGCAGTGTCCTCATCACAGTGGATGGCAAGGATGTGTGAGTGACCGTCAGTACTTGGAACAGCCCAGGAGGGGCAGAAGCCTGCGGCCAGCATTTCGTTGCTGTGACCTTGGCGAGTGGTCGCCTTCCCGAAGCCTGGTTTCCTCGAGGTGCTCAGCGGTGCCTGGCATGTGGCGACCTGGGTAAAAGTCCCTCTGTTATTAGGTCATCCCGACCTGTGGCGGGAGACACACCTGTACAAGCTGCGAGGGCCCGGCCGCCCTGACCGTGTCTTGGGCCTGCTGGAGCCTCCCATCCCTGGCCTGTGGCCGCCCTGCCGTCCCCACCTCAGGCTCTGGAAGGTCAGGCTCCCCCCACACCACTGGGCACTGGGCGGAGCGGGGTGCAGATGGGGGAGAGCTCCGGGCCAGGCGGCTCCCGGGTGTGGGCTTGTTGGATTTTTCCACACAGCGGAGCAGTGGTCTGAATGCCCAGGAAACTGTAAACCTGCCCTCCTGGGGCCGGGAGGCACACCCCTCTCCGCCCGTGCTCAGGAGTGGGGAGCCCTTCCCTGCCCCCTCTTCCCCACCACTCAAAGGTGGAGTGGGAGCCACTCCCTTTCTCCCCGGGACTCAGAGAAGCTGACAAGTCCCCAGGATGGTGGCCACCTGTCCTCCCTTCCCCCAGGACCCTCTCTCCAGCACTGGGCCCTCCACCCCGACAGGAGGGCCCTAACCATCCGTCCCACCCAGCTTTTGTCTCCCTGGAAGACGGTCCCCCCCACGGCAGTTGATCCCCTTGTCAGGTCTCCGGGAGGGGCTGCACCTGCTCTTGTCGGTGCTGCTGAGGTGGCTCTGGTGGCGGCAGAGGGAGGGAGGGATTTTCAGTCACAGTGGTCCCGGGCCACCCCACCCTTCAGTTTTCCCGCAGAACCCCTTGGGCTGGCATGAGGGTGCCACATTGTGTAGACAGAGCAAGGCAACGGGCTNCCACATTGTGTAGACAGAGCGAGGCAACGGGCTGCCTCTATGGAGACCGTCAGCCCCAAAGCTGAGCTGGGTCCTAACCGTCCAGCACAGAGTCCAGCCCGAAGCAGGACCCGGCTGCACGTCCCATCCATGTGCTCATCAGAGGAAAGTCCAACGGGACGGGCATCCCCGGGGCCTNTGTGTGCCCATCAGAGGAAAGTCCAACGGGACGGGCATCCCCGGGGCCTGATGTCTGTCCCCTCCTGGGACAGGCCTTGGCCACTGCTGCTGGTAGGAACATCGAAGCCTTGTGCAGTGTCCACAGACGCCCTCTGTGTGAGCACTGAGCCTCCTTGTGAGCGCCGACCCGCACATCTGCCCTGCACACAACGGCACCGTGTTCCCACTGGGAGGGACCCTCCCCTGCAGCCAGCCAGCGCCGGAGGGGGGCGCGGAGGGCCGGGCAGGCCTGACCGATGGCGCCCTGCCTCAGAGAACCTTCTCTGTGCCAGGCACCGTGAGGGGCTGGGGGTGCAGCAGCGGCCGCTGGGCAGAACTACCCTCTTGCGGTGCTGACAGCGTAGGGGGCGAGGGTAATAGGTAATGAAAGCCTGTTGTCCTTGGGTGCCGAGTACACGGGGAAGTGTAATCTGGAGACTTAAGTAGGGCGAGACCCAAAGGGTCAGGGTAGGGGGACAAGTGCTGTTTCTGGGGGCCCCCGGGTCCGGCAGTGAGAGGGAGCTCAGTACAGTAAAGCCTGTGCCCAGTGACCTACAGGGAAGACTGGGAGGTGGGGACGCCCGGCCCCAACCTTGGGCCCCTCTGAGCTGCCCGCTTCTCCCGCTCCAGGCCCGGGCAGCCCGCCCCTCCCTCCTGCTGGGCCCCAGCCAGCCCACTGCTGCTGGGCAGGCTCTGCCTCCCTCCTGGCCCTGCCCTGGCCTGGAGGAGAAAGGGGGAGGCCTGCGGGAGGGAGAGGGGTTCCCATGCGGCCCTTCGTGGGGTCCTCTCGGGCCCCGGGGCGGAGAAAGCTCTTGTCCGACTGCCTGTGGGTGACGTCCTCGGTCCTCAGTCTCCTCCTGGGTGGCCTGCTCTGTGCGGGTGGCTTTCTGCTCCGTGCTCACCTGGACTCTGGGACCAGGTGGCAGTTGTCAGGAGAGCCAGCTCAGGTGTCAGGGCAGCTGGGGGATGAGTTTACACACCCTCAGAGACAGGACACGCCTGGCTTAGGAGCTGGCAGCCGCTGGCTGCTGGGGAGGCACCCTCCCCTTGCCTTCCCGCCCCCCTTCCCAGCTCTGTACCCGCCCCGGAAGGAGGTGCCTAGGGAGCTGCAGGCAGAATTGTTAAGGACATGAAACGTGGAATCAGCCAGACCTGCCTTTGCCTTCATTAGTTGTACAGACAAGATGCCTAATCTCCATTCCTGTTTCCCCATCAGGGAAATGGGCTCATGACCACTTCCCAGGGTTGTTGCTGGGAGGCGTGTTGTTCATGCCAGGCACAGGATAAGCTGGGTGCCTGTCACCATCTTGCCACTGTCGTGGACACATCCTGCCCGGTGGGGTGTGACTTTCACGTGGGGCCCAGCCCTCTCCCAGCAGCTGCTCAGTGGCGCCAAGGGCTCGGAGGCTGTGCTGGCAGAGGCCCAGCAAACAGCCAACGGTCAAGAACGGTCAAGGGCACCTTCCGAGTATGGCTCCCAGAGCCTCTGACAGTCAGAGAAGCCAGAGCCGGCCTGCGTCCCTCTCAGGACCTGGTACCCAGGCAGGAGCTGCTCCCCAGCCCGTCCTTAATGCTGGAGAGCGTGTGGTTGCAGCCCTGCCCGCACCCGGCGCACTGGGCCACAATGGGCGCTGTGTGGGAAAGGAGGGCAGCCTGCCTCGCTGGGGCGGGCCCAGCACTGCCCCTGCCGGGCCCCCGGCCCCCAGGCCTGAGTCTGATCTGAAAGGCCGCCTGCCTCCCATGGGGCTGCTTTTCTTACAGAGGAAATCTCTGAGCGGGCTCCAAGTCGGCTCACAATACACTAGAAGCGAGCCAGTCGCCTCCCCGCTGGGCAGGGGCAGCTGCTATTGTTCAGATGCCAGAGGTGGGAGCACAGTGGCTTCTGCTGTAAAAAGAAAGCGCCGGCACTGTCCCTCAGGCCCTCTCTGTCCTGTCCCCTCTAGCTCCTGCCAGAGTTCCTGTGCTTCCTGTGGACAAGGTGGGGGGGCTCAGGTCTTGCCTGAAGGGTTGGCATGTAGCTCCTGGGGGAAAGGCAGTGTGGACCCCCGCCTAAGGAATCGTGGGAGACTTGGGAGAGTCAGCTGGCCAAGAAAGGTTTCCACAGACTCTGATGTCCCCAGCTCAGTGCTGGGTGTGGACAGAGGCATGTAGGACCTGCTGCCAGGTGGAGAAATAAAACATCCACAAGTAAACCCAGGGCTGGTGGTAGTTCCAGGGTGACAGTAGGTGCTCTGAGCCTTTGGCGAGGGAGCAGTCACATCCAGGAAGCCTTCTCGGAAGAGGAGGCCTTAAGCGAAAGGGGACAAGACCAGACTCCAGCAGGTGGAGATGGGAGAGGACCTTCATCAGGGATGAGATTGCTGCTTGCCCAGGGCCCAAGTGACAGCAGCAGGGTGCTGAGGGAAACCTCCCTTCCTGCCCCCCCAGCGGGACCATGTCGTCTGCCTCGGTGAGGGTGGGAGCTGAGTCAGGACTCGCCCCCACCCAGGAGAGAGGCAGGCTGCTTGGCAGGTAACGGGAGCTGGGTTTATCCCAGTTTTCCACGTGGTGGCTGTGTGGGCCTTGTCAGCTCGTGTCCACCTCCCAGGTCCCTCCGGAGGTCTGGTTTGCTTACGTCTGATTGTCCATCTCTACACGCACCTTCCGCACGGAAGAATCAGCCCTGTCTGTCTGGCGTTGCCCTTTTCTCTGCTGGGGCGTCTTCTAAATCCCGCCTCCTCTGTCCCCCCTCCAGGCCATCAGCATCAGCAAAGCCATCAACAGCCAGGAGGCCCCCGTGAAGGAGAAGCATGCCCGGCGTATCCTTCCTGCCTCCGAGTCGCGCGGGTGGGGGGGTGCGGACGGGCCAGCCCTGCATGGTCCCTGACCGTGGATACCCTGGGAGCAGGGTGGCGCTGCAGGTGGCACCGAGGCTTTGTGAGGTCCACCCTCAGGGAGACGAGGCCCCACGACGAGTGTCCTCCTGTGGCCCTGGCCCAGCCGGGTCTCCCGCCTCACTCAGTTCCTGTCAGACTCTGAGCCCCGTCTTGGGGGACATCATCTGTCATCTTAGGCTGTTGGGCTGGGTTGAATTTGAGAGGTGTGACCTCGCCCTTGGCTGAGAATCGTAACTGCTGCGGGTGTGGAGGGAGGGAAGCGGGAGGAGCTCAGCAGCCGTGGGGTGGGGGTCGCTGAGTGCCCGGGCCTCCCACGCTGTCTCTGCCTCCTGCACTTGGCCTTGACTTCGCAGGCATCATCCTGGGCACTCACCACGAGAAGGGGGCCTTCACCTTCTGGTCCTATGCCATCGGCCTGCCGTTGCCCAGCAGCTCCATCCTCAGCTGGAAGTTCTGCCACGTTCTCCACAAGGTCCTGCGTGACGGCCACCCCAACGTGAGTCGCCGTTGTCCCAGGGGGTCTCCAGTTTCAGTCCCCAAGCCTCTCGGGGGGAGCCTGGGCCTTCTGTCTATGCCACCTGAGCAGGCCAGCACCCCAGGGGAGCAGAGCAGTGTCCCTTTGAAATGGGAGACCGTCCTGCCTTACTTGCTGTCGTCCCCATGCCGTAAGCGCGTTGGGCTCCCCCTGCCGGTTCTGGGTTCCTCACCCGCCTCCCCCCTCCCTGTGCTGCAGGTCCTGCATGACTGCCAGCGGTACCGGAGCAACATCCGGGAGATCGGAGAGCTGTGGGTAGGTGCAAGGGGCGAGCTTGGCAGCCTCAGTCCTCACAGACAGGACATCCACAGACTCCGGCCCTGGGCCTGCTTGGTGCTCGAGCCCCCAGCACTCTGGCCGAGCAATGGCAGTGCCCTGCAACAGTGTCTTTCTCAGAGCAGAAGTTAGAGTGATGCTCTGGGGGCCACAGAGGGAGCTGTTGCCTCCTTTCTCTAGAAGGCCTGGTCAAGGAAGTTCCAAACACATGGCTAGGGGCCTCCAGCCCCAGAAATCACCAGCCCTTCAGTCCCTGAGTCAGGAACGTGGCCGTCCCCGTGTCTAGTGTGTCACAGTGGCAATTAGAGCCCTTGGAGGGATGTAGGGTCCCAGGCCCCCAGACTGGCTGCTTTAGAATCTCACATCGGAGTCTGTGTGCTCAAGAAGGTCCCCGGAAGATTCTTATCCACGGTCAAGTCTGCGAGCCTGAGGGCTTGTTACCCAGGGTCACCCCAGCACCCTCGGGAATCGGGGGGCCCCTGGGCGGAGAGAGGGCCTCGGGCCTCTTTGTCTTCAAGAGCCCCGCCAGGCAGGGCAGCCCCTGGGAGCTGGGTGGCGAGACCCAGAGCCACTGTGTTTTACTGAAGTCAGGAAAACACAGCCAGGGTGCCACTTACGGACGCAGGTCCAGCTGGTGTGGCCACAGGGGACGCGGTCCGGGAGGTGACGGGAGGGCATGGACACGCGCCTGTCGGAATGTGCCTCCCCGGCTGCCGCCAGCATGTTAATGAAGTGTCCCAGCCCGGAACTGGCCTGTCGCCTGGACAAAGAGCCCTCTTGTCACAGGAGTCTCTTTGGCAAGACTGACAAGGAGTGAGATTGAACGAAGGGAGGGGAGAGCGCCGTAGACGGGATCGGCGGGGTCGCTCAGAAGGCTCAGCCGCCTCAGGAGGATGTTTGTTGAGTGAAAAGTGACTGGTGGGTGGGTGGGTGGAGGAATGACACTCAGCTGTCACCTCGCATCGTCCCACCTCAGCTCCTAGTCTGCCCCGCGGCGCGCCAGGGCCTGTGGGGTCCTCGGGCACCCTCCCGGGCGGTGGACCCTGACCCCCTCCTGCCTCCACAGGGGCATCTGCATGATCGGTACGGACAGCTGGTCAATGTTTACACCAAACTCCTGCTGACCAAGATCTCCTTCCACCTCAAGGTAGTGTCCTTGGGAGGGTGGTGGGGCCGGAGGGATCTGGGCTCTTCCCTCCATGATGTCTGGGGACTTAGAGGGGGGCAGGTCTTGTTCTGCGCCGGCCTTGACCCAAGGAAGGGGACACAAGGGATGCAGGGATGTCCTGGAAGCCAGATCCCCTTGAGGTGTTTCCCGCGGACACTGGAGGTGGCCTTGGCCCTGCCCTGGGCTCTGGGCAGCCTTGTCGCCCTGGCCAGACGTCCTGTCTTCTGTCCTCGGTCTCTGGTCCCCCCTCCTCAGCCAGCACCTCAGACCAGTGGCATCTCCACAGGCTGGGGCTCCTCTGGCCTCTTCCCCTCCCTTAGAAGTTAGAACTGGTTCTGGGCCCGAGTCAACACGGGCTCCTGTTGAGGGGGGGTGTCCTCTCCGCAGCACCCCCAGTTTCCTGCGGGTCTTGAGGTGACAGACGAGGTGCTGGAGAAGGCAGCTGGGACCGACATCAATGACATGTGAGTCCGTTGGGAGGTGGCGTGGCCTGGCACCGTCCCCTTGCCCCCCGTTTCCCTGTTTGTCCCCCCACCTCTCCCACTCAGCCCTCTCCCCCTCCCCCTGCAGCTTCCAGCTCACCGTGGAGATGTTCGACTATCTGGACTGCGAGCTGAAGCTGTCGGAATCAGGTGAGCCTGCGAGGGCCGACCTGCTGCCTGTTAGCCAGGCTGACTTACGTTCCCGCATGCACCTGCCCCTTGGGGGTCCCAACCCCCAGGAGTAGGCGAGGGAGCCTCCAGGTGCCCCCAAAGCACAGGGGAGAGGGTGCCAGGCCCCTGGCAGGAGAGGTGTCTGCCATTCCTTCCACCCAGTGAACCCGCCCCTGTCCCGGGGCAGGAGGCGCAGGGGCAGGGCCGCCAGGAGCTGCGCCGCAGGGTGCAGACTCAGGATCCGGCCTCCCCCGGGAGAGTTAGTCTGTGCCATTTGCCTATTTTCTGCTATAAAAGGCCTCTGAGGGTGTTGGACTTTCCCACCTAGGGACCTGGCAGCCTTGGGACAGGAAACCTCAGGGTCCCCCTCCAGGGCCGCAGAGGTGATTATTGTGGGCGACAGTTTCAGAATAACATGTGGGTGACTCACGCTTCTCACAGGAGAAGCAGATGCCTTTTTAAGGGAAAATTGGGAGCTAGGAAGAGGTGGGTCTGGACAGCCTCCCGGATCTGGACTCTGAGGCTGGCGGTCCAGCGGGCAGCTTGGCACCGAACCTCCATGCCTGGAAGGGAGCCCTGCCCAGCACCCAACCAGGGAGCAGGGGCAGGTGTCCAGGGCCCTGGCTGCCAGCCTGGGCCCCGGCAGAGATGTGCCAGGCAGGAGCTGTGTCCTGCTCTTGGCCTGGGCATGGGCTGAGTGTGGACAGGGCAGGGGTCCCCACGAGGGAATGTGTAGAAAGCCCACAGGTGGGCCCCCAGTGGTAGTGACTGATATCTTTTTTTTTTTTTTTTTTTAATATGTCTTTATTGATCTCAGAGAGAGGAAGGGAGAGAAAGAGATATAAACATCAATGATGAGAGTCATTGATCGGCTGCCTCCTGCACGCCCCCCACTGGTGCCAAACCCGGGTGTGGCACCTGACCGGGAATCGAATCTCTCTCTCCTGGATCACAGGTCGAAGCTCAATCGCTGAGCCACACCGGCCTGGGTAGTGATGTCTTAATGAAGCACAGAGAAGGGATCCTGGCAGTGCCTCGTGCCAGCATCTCCCTAGAGGGAGGTGCAGGGCGTTGCCCTGCTGGGAGGTTGCTCCTTGCCACTCGGTGTGCAACAGCCAACAATGGGAACGTCCCGAGCGCCCCTCAGTGGAGAGATGGCTGTGTCTCAAAAAAAAAGCACCCCAAGATAGAACTTCATGTGTGTTCTCATTTTTTACAAGGAAATTGTACTTGAGAGGGAATTAAAAATTAAGTTTTGGAAAGATGTCGGGGCAGCACCTAGCTCCTTCCTTCCTGTCCCCTCCCTCCTGGGCATTCTCATGTCACTGTGCAGGTTTGCCAACGGTCCCAGCCCAGGCAGGGTGAGAGGGGGACCCAGAGCTTGGAGCCCACCCTCTGGAGCCATGTCCCTGGCATCCGTGTCCTGTGTGGGTGCCCTGGCAGCTCCCCCATCCTGGCGGGCTGCCTAGAGAAGGGGCTGGGTGGCGGGGGCAGCCTCACGTTTGTCCCTGACCCTCCCACTTGGACGATCTGATGAAAAGCTTGATTGTCAAGGTCCAGGGAGTTTGACCCCGGGTGCAGGTGAGGTTTTGGGGTTGAGGGTTTGCAGAGCTGAGTCTTGACTCTCCTGCCCCTGCAGCTGCTCGTCCTGGGCCCGCCCTGGGAGGCTCTTTGGGAAACCCTGGCCAAGCTGAGCCGGGGTTTTGCCCGACCTTGTCACCCTAGTTCAAGGGAGCACTGGCCTTGGTCTGGGGCCGCCTATTCTAGGAGTAAGGGGCCCCCTGGTGCTCGTGGACCCAGATAGAGTCCTGCTTCCCAGCCGGGAGAGGGAAAGCCAGGTGACCCAGGCTGTCACCTCCCCAGGCTTCTATGACGATGCCATGAGATGCCGTCCACACCACGGCTGCCACTTGGCTGCCCCTGTCAGCCTGTGCCTGTGGCTCCCGGCTCCCGTGCTCACGCTCCTCCCGCCTCCCTCTCTCTCTGTCTCTCTCCCTCCCTTTCTTTCTCTCGTGCAGTTTTCCGGCAGCTCAACACGGCCATCGCTGTGTCCCAGATGTCCTCGGGCCAGTGCCGCCTGGCCCCCCTCATCCAGGTCATCCAGGACTGCAGTCACCTCTACCACTACACGGTCAAGCTCATGTTTAAGCTGCACGCCTGTGAGTCCCAGAGCTCCCCCCGCCCCCTGCCCGCAGGCCCCCAAGTCCAGCCAGAGCCCCAGAGAGGCTTGACGTGACCAGGTGTACTGTGTCAGAGATGAAAAGTCAGGAAGTTAATTAAAAGTAGCAGTGATAAGCTCGTTACTATTAACATAAATAACATACTTATTATGAAAAACCGCTGTTTTCCAAAACAAACAGAAAAGCGGCATAGTTGACGTGTTTGCCGCTCCCTCGAATGCCTGGCCTCGGAGGGGGCTTCCCTGGACTCCTGCATTCAGTTGGTGCCTAGTGTCTCCAGGGTGTTCAGAACAGGGCTTGTCCCCGGGCCCCACTTTGAGAATTGCTGGCCTGGAGCATCTGAGCCATTCGAATACTAGCCCAGGGTTAACTCAAGTCTAAAGTGACTGGACTGTGGCCCCAAAGCCAGGCCCTGGCGGGTTTGCCATAGTCCTGGGACTGCCCTTCCCACTCACCGATTCCCCCTCCATCTCAGGGACTTGGCCGGGTGGTGGTGATCTGTCTAACCTCTGACAGTTTCTCCAATTTGAAGGGACAGGCAGTGGGGAGGGAGGGAGGGACTGTGAGGTCTCGATGGCCACGGAGCAGTGAGCAGGACGAAGTTCACTAAGCCTGTGCCACCCCAGGTCTCCCAGCGGACACCCTGCAAGGCCACAGGGACCGGTTCCATGAGCAGTTCCACAGGTACCAGCTGGCAGGGCTTCGGGCACGGCCATGGGGCTGGGCTGTCAGCGGGACTGGCTCCCTCTGACCCCCCGCACATGTCCCCGCAGCCTCAGGAACTTCTTTCGCAGAGCATCGGACATGCTCTACTTCAAGCGCCTTATCCAGATCCCCCGACTGCCCGAGGTACCTGCCCAGGCTCCCGCCCCCGCCCCCTGGGCTGCAGCCCTGCTTCTCTCTGGGTTCTGAGTCCTTTGAGAACCCTGGCCGCCTGGCAGGGCCCCACATGGGCTCTGGGGATGGCAAGGGAAGGCCCATGTGCAGGGTTGGGGGCACGCTGAGCAGCTCCCACCTGCGGCCCTTGCAGGGACCCCCCAACTTCCTGCGGGCCTCGGCGCTGGCTGAGCACATCAAGCCGGTGGTGGTGATCCCCGAGGAGGCCCCCGAGGATGAGGAGCCCGAGAACCTCATTGAGATCAGCACGGGCCCCCCTGCTGGGGAGCCAGCAGTGAGTGGCCCCCTCTTCCTGCATGGGGGGTTGGGGGTGCCTGGGCCTCCCTCTGCTCCCTCCCTGTCCTGGAGGGTGGAAGTCACTGTGATTTGCCGTGGCAGGTGGTGGCCGACCTCTTTGACCAGACATTCGGACCCCCCAATGGTTCCATGAAGGATGACAGGTGAGGGCCTGGGATGCCCTGGGGTGGGGCTGGAAATGGCCCTCGTGCAACTGTGGTCAGGAAAGGCCACGGGTGGGGGATGTGAACTTGAGACACCCAGATCCCAAGGGGCTGCCAAAGAGACCACCAGTTCCTGTCCAGAGGGTGGGCTTCTGATCTTCCTGGTCGACTGAACTTGGTCGCCAGGACTGTGCGGCCTCAAAAGCCCTGCCTGCCTCGCCCTGTCCCCAGGGACCTCCAGATCGAGACCTTGAAGAGAGAGGTGGAGACGCTCCGGGCTGAGCTGGAGAAGATGAGGCTGGAGGTGAGGTGATGTGGGTGGAGGGTGGGCCTGGCACGGCCCTCAGGTCCACGTCCGGGTCCACGTCCACCACGTCCTTCCTGCCACCACAGGCCCAGCGGTACATTGGCCAGCTGAAGGGTCAGGTGAACACGCTGGAGGCGGAGCTGGAGGAGCAGCGGAAGCAGAAGCAGAAGGCACTGGTGGACAACGAACAGCTCCGCCACGAGCTGGCCCAGCTGCGGGCCGCCCGGCAGGAGGGCGAGCGGAACCAGGGCCTGCGCGAGGAGGCCGAGAGTGCGTGGCCGAGCCCCGA